AAACAACATTCCTAGACACATAAGAATTACCAATGCTAAACAGTGTACTAGTATACTAGTTTATATTCTAGTATAACCTCTTAGAGAAAGCAGGACGGAGATTTCTCCCAAAGCCAAAACTACAAATTCCACATGACCTAGTAATTCTTTTCCTAAAAGAGTTACAAACATTACATTACAGTGACACATGCATACCTATTTACAGCAGCACAATTTTGTAAGTCATCTGTCGGAAAATGGATGCACCTGGAGACCAGAGTGTGACGTGAAAACGCAAACTTAAATATTACATTGATTAACTTATTCCAGACATCCAGAATAAAAATCAAGGCAGACAATAGGAAATAGGGAGAAGATTACTTTCACTGACAAAGCAATCAAAAGAGGGAGAGAATAGGGAAGGGATAAGGGATGAAGAAAAGGAACTGAGACATGTTAGGTACCTGTACCAGCTTCCCACAGGGGATGTAAATATTATGTGTTACACACATACAAAATATGTGTGTCATCCAAAAGTCATCCTTGGAAGCTAGCGTTGCTTTAATACCAAAACCAGACAGAGATCCAACCAAAAGAGCAAATGACAGGTCAATCTCTTCAGAGAACATACACACAGAAATTCCTCAACAAGAAACTGGCAAACAAAATGTAACAAATCATCAAAAAGATCATATATCATGACCAAGTAGGCTTCATTCCAGGATGCAAGAATGATTGATTCAACATTCACAAATCAAAAAATGTAACACATCACATAAACAGAAGCAAGGACCAAAAAATCACATCATTTCAATAGATACAGAAAAAGCTTTTGACAAAATTCTACATAATTTATGAAGAAAATAGCTATAGAAGGACCTTATCTCAATCTGATAAAATCCATTTATGACAAACATCATACTAAGTGGGTGAAGCTCAAAGCTTTTCCTCTAAAATCAGGAACAATACAAACATGGTCACTATCACCACTCCTGTTCAATGTAGTCCCCAGACCATTAGCCAGAGTAAAGAAAGAAAGAAACCTGACACACATAGGAATGGAAGAAGCCAAAGTATGATTATGTGCAGATGACATGTTTCTCTAGACCCCCCAAAATCTACCAAAAGACTTCTAGAATTAATACCAAATTCAGTAGCATTAAAAGATAGACAATCAACACACAAAAACCAATAGTGTTCCTGTATGCCAATAATGAACTCATTGAAAAATAAATTAGGAAAACAATATCCTTCAAAATAGCATAAACAAATATTTAGGAATTAATGTAACCAAGAATGAGAAGGATGTCTACAGTTAAAACTATGGCTGCTTAAAAAAAAAAAAAAGAAAGAAAACACCACAAGAGAACAGAACATCAGAAAGTGGAAGCTACCCCCTGATCCTGGATAGGCAGATATTAGTCAAATTAGACAATATTAGTCAAAATGGCAATACTTTTTAAAATGAAATACATATTTAATGCTATCACAGTCAAAATACCAATAGCCTACCTCACAGAGCTAGAGAATACAATCCTAAGATTCTTATGGAACTAGAAGAGACCTGGGATTCCAAAGGCAATCATGGGTAATGAAAGCAAAGCAGAAAGCATTGCAATCCTGAACTTCAAGTTATACAGCAAAGTTACAGTTACAAAAACAGCATAGCATTAGCACAAAACCAGACATGTGGGTCAGTGCAACAGAACAGAGGTTACAGAAACAACTCCAGGCACATTTAGCTATCTGATCTTTGACTAAGGGGCCAAAAAAATCTGCTGAAAGAAAGACAGCCTTTTTAAAATGGTGCTGGGGAAACTGAAAATCCATATGTAAAATATTAAATAATATTTCTATGCACTAGTTTAAAATCAAAATGAATCAAAGATCCAAATGTTAAAACAGAAATACTTACTTTGCTACATGGTAAAATAGGTAAAACTCTTGAAGACATAGACAAATGCAAAAAGTTTCTGAACAGAACCCCACCAGCAAAGAAATGACATCAAGAATCAATAAATGAGTTGGATGTGGTGGCACATCCCTGATTTCAGGAGGCCGAGGCAGGAGGATCACCTCAAATTCAAGGTCAGCCTGCACTACAACTAAGACTGACTCAAAAAAAATTAAAAATAAAAAAGAATCAATACATGCTACAATAACAAATTTAAAAATCTTGTGCATGGTATAGTAAACAAGAGTGAAGAGTAAAACCTAAGAATGAGAAAAAATTGAATTTAGAGGGAAAAAAAGCAAAACAGAAAAAAGGGTAGAAATAATCACAATTTCAAAAAACAGTAAGAAATCACTAGTTGATAAATTACATATTGTCATCTTAGAAGTAGTTGTTCAAGTTACAAAATCAAAGCATACAAAGTGAACAATGACAGCACAAACTATTGTTTGATGAACAAAAATTTAGTAGCATGGTTATCTATCTTGCACACTTAACATACATACAGTGATATGTGTACATCTACAAGTTGTTCTTTCTTTTCAAGCAATGAGAAAAAAATTTTTGCCAGCTGTTCCTCAGAGGACTAGTATATACAATATACAATGCAGTCAGAATAATTAGACTCTCCCAAACTTAAAGACCCAGTCAAAAACGTGGGCAACTAAAATGAACAGCCACTTTTGAGAAGGACAAATGACCAAGAAATATATGATAACATGTTCAACGTGTCTGACCATCAGGGAAACGCAAGTTAAAACAAGCCTGAGATTTCACCTTACCCCAGAAAGAATGACAATCATCCCGAAACCAAATAATAACAAATGCTGACAAGGCGGTGGGGAAAAAAGGATCCCGTCTACATTGTTAGTGAAAATGTAAGCTATGACAACCAGAAATCAGGGTCTAGATTCCTCAAAAAAACAAAGCAAAACAAAAAAAAAAACCCTAAAGATAGAATTCCACTGAACCCAGCTATTTCTCTGAAAGATTTTAAAACTTCATACTACAATGATACATGTATACCCATGTTTATAACAGCACAACTCATAATAGCTAAATCATGGAAGTGGCCTGTACTGGATGCCCATCAATAGATAAATGAGTAAAGAAAATGTGGTATTTGAACTCAATGGAGTACCATTCTTTCATAAAAAGGATAAACTTAGTCATTTTAGGAAAATGGGTGCATCTTGAGACCATAAAGTTAAGTGAAATAAATCAGACGCTTCAGTTTAAATATTAAATGGTTTCTCTTATATGAGAAACATAAATCATAAATTAAGAGCAAAATAAAAGATAAATGATAGTATGTCGGGAGATAGAACTTTGGAAAAGGAAAGGGGACCAAGAGTTGAAGGGAAGAGAGGGAAGGGGAAAAGGATGAAAAAGAATTCAGATGTGTGGTGTGTAGGAGCCAACTCCCCAAGAGGACTGTGACCATTATGTACTCAAGGATGCACCAATAAGACAAAGGTAAGAGCAGCTAGTAAGATGCTCCAGATACTCCAAATCCGTGCTGCAAAGCTTGCTTTCTTCCTTCTCGTGGCCCCGTCCTTTCTTTCTGTTTTCTTAGTGTCTGCTTCCCTCCTCTCTTTCCTTTAGCTCTCTCCCTTCCTTCTTCATTACACACATGCACGCACACACGCACTTTTCAGTCTCATTCATATAAATATATATACATATTTTTAAGAAAAGCACAAATCTTGATTATCCTGAACAGATCAAACAAGAAAGGGAGTCATGATTAATTACTTCATCAAATACTCTTCAGAAAACTCCTGGAAAATGAGCAAAATCTAAGTTAAACATTTATTAACCTAAAAAATGATATCCAAGGCCCCATTTCCAGGTCCTGTAGTAGGGACGTCAGGGCTGCATTTCAGACGGCGCTGGCTGAGCCTCACACTGAATTGTTCTTCCTGGTCAGCCTAACAGAGTTAGAGGTGACTCTCCAAGTTTGTGGAGACCATCGCTTACGTGTATGTCAAACAGAGCGCATTTGTAACATTTAATGCCCACAATAACAATAATAAAACACAGTGGCGTGTGCTCTGTGTAAACACTTTCTTCTGAAGATAGTGCCAGTGAAATGTTTTAGGAACTTTGACATTTATAGCTGCATTTATAATCTTTTTTGGATCATTTCCTCACAGAGTCACATGTTTGTATATTTTACATTCTCTGGAGAAATAAAAATGTTTAAACATAACATAATGATATGATATGCATTTTATGAGCTTTTGCTCACCATTTAAGCATGAGCAAAGACCATTGCATGGTGAATCCTGAGAGGGGTTTCTGTGGAAATGTTGAACTTTCCAGGTATTGTATATATCATGATGCCCACTATGCTAGGGATAGAAAGAAGAGGGGAGAGTCAACCCAGGTGGTTTTATTTATGTTTGAAACCAGGCTTTCTTAAAGGTAGGAAACTAGACATTATATATTTGGAAATATGTACTATGAGAGTTTTTTGGAAAGACATACACTTTGTACTTTCTCAAAAGGTAAAGGAGAACCAGAAATTTTATTATCACTCTATACATACAGATCATAGAAATTTACCTATTGTTATATCTCAAAATTTCCTAATATACAGCCAAGATGAATTCATTATGATCATGTGAAACACTACTATGATTATGCAAATAGATGAACAGTCTCTTTATTTTCAACTAATGCAAAGATAGTAACTTTTTCTAAACATGTAACTTGGTGTCTTACAAGAGTTAATTTATTAAATGCTTATGAGTCTAAATAATCAGAAAACAAAATGGTATTCAGCTCAAGGGACACCTCACAGAGAAATCTGTTCCTTCTTCAATACAGTATACCGTTTGGGACTGTGAGGGTACAGCAAACTAAAAACATATTTCATATCCTTTGACGTTCCTGCTAGTGAGCTTTTTATGTATTCTGCTTGAATCTGGAGCGACTTTAGTGATTGGTTGAACAGCAGAATATGGCAGAAGCTACGGTGTTGGCACTAGAAGCTAAGCCGTGGTAGGTCACCCACCTTCTGCCCTGCTCATTTGAGACCCTCCTCTGTTTCCTTCTACATTCATATCAAACGGGTAATTTGCCAATATCATAACACAGTTTCAGGAAAGCACGCCTTACACGATGGTGCAGAAAACCAAAAGTCACACTTACGAGCCACAGCAGAGTGCACCACGGGTGCACCTTGGGAACTCTGAGAGCCATTAGATGCCCTATTGTGACAAAGCTTAGATGAGCTTCACACTTTTTTGTTTGTTTGTTTGTTTTTGCTTCTGGGAAGTTTAAAAAGTATAGTATCTGTGTAATTTTAAATTTTAAAAAATACTATATGATTTTTAAATTCGCAAGAAATTCTTTTTAGTAAATCATATATAGTAAGCATCTAAAATTAATTTTCTTTGTGGCCCATTTATTAATTCTCACCTCCTAACCAATATCACACTTTATTATTTACTGTAGATTATAATTTGCTTTCACATTTGGTTGGAAGTTCCTGCTTGGTGTTCTTTTTCAAAACAGTCTTGGCTTTTCTTTTCTTTTCTCTTTCAAAATTTGGAAGTGGGTTGTTGAATTTCTGTAGGAAGTAGTATTAATATTTAATTTAATTTATAAATAAGTTATAGGGAAATGTTTTTCAATCCAGGAACATGGTCTCCTCTTCATTTATTCAGCATTTTCATAAGGTTTTATGATATTTTTCGTCTAGGTCTTGAACATTTCTCTTATTTTATTCCTAAGAATCTGTTTTGTTAAATTTGTGAGTGGGATAATGTTAAAATTTTACTTAGTTACTGTTAGAACACGGAGAGCCAGAGATCTGTGTGAATTGACCTGGAGGCTAAGCTCTTTATTTACCTGTCACAGGCTGCTGGATCTCCTACAACAAAATAGCACAGAATAAGTAGCTTCAACAATAAACATTAATTTTTCACAATCTGGAGACGGGAATTGTAAGATCAGGGTACCAGCACGTCATGCTCTCCGAGGGCTGGTTTCCTGGCTTGGCTTGCGGAGCTGCCTCTGCCTCTTCCTTACATGGTGGGGGAGCCAGGAAGCCAGCTATGGCCTGTGTCTTCTAAAGGCACCCCTGTCATCATGACGGCGCCGCCTTTGTGACTGTATTCCTTCCCCAAAGCCTCACCTCTCAACACCATCACATCGGAGATCACGGCTTCCACATAAAATATTGAGGAGGCTCAGACATCCACTCCACAGCATTAGCAGTTCTCACTTGTACCTCTCCGGCTTTTCCGAATACAGATAGTATTGTTTATGAGTAACTACTTTTGTTTCTTCCCTCCAATTCACAATTCTTATTTGTTTTCTCTTTATTATTAACAATCAAGTGTTTATGGTATTTCTAGCTTTCTTGAAATTTGAGAAAAAGTGGATATTGGACCTATCAAAATTTTTGCCATAATTAAGATATGGTATAAATACTCTTCTTTAACCTTTTCGTGTAGCAAAATAAAATGTTACCTTTTATTTTTTTCAGGTAATGCAAACTTATTGAGCAACTATTATGTGCCTAGAATGTAAATGCAGAGAATAAAAGAGCAAGACAATCTCTCTGCCCAGACTGATTTATAATTACATTCCTAAGATAAACTCTATTCAATTTAGAAGTCTTACTGTTTTATATGTTGCTGTCCTTAGATTGCTTTGTTTTACTTAGGATTTTTGAATCTGTGCTCAATACTAAAACTAGATTATGTTGCTCTGGGCCCCATTAAACACTGATAATGTTACAAGTTTCAGTAAACAACCTGGATTAATATACAGCATTACTCTCCATTTATTTGTGTCTTCTTAAACTTACAACTTTTTGTCATTTTCTTCCTGAGCTTATTAAACATTTCTTTTAAAATATATTTCTAGGTAATTTATTTATTTAATTATGAATGAGGTACCTAAATTAAATCTAGATAATTATCGGAATTATATATGAAGTTAGTTGAGCAGGGCATGGTGCTTACACCTATAATTCCAGCACTAGGGGAAGCTGAGGCAGGAGTACTGCAATTTCAAGCCCAGCCTGTGTAACTTTGTAGCTTAGTGAGATGCTGCCTAACATATAACTCGGGGCACAGGCCTAAGTTCAATGTCCAATACAAAAAAAGAAAGAAAGAAAGAGAGAAAGAAAGAAAGAAAGAAAGAAAAGCTGGTTATTCATGGACATTTGGCTTATAATTAGTTACCTAAATTAAATCTCATTAAGGCTGCTAGTTTTGAATAGCTTTTCCTGTTTGAGAGATTTTGAAATAATCAAAATGCCAAAAAGTAATATTTGTCCTTTTTTTTCAATAATCATGTTTTTCTATTGTCTGATTTTTTTCATGGGTTACAAATTGCAGAAAAATGCTGTATAATGCTGTATAATGGGAAACATTCTTATATTTTTCTTTTAAAGTGAATGTTCCTAGAATTTTATTATTAGATACCATGTGAGATAAAAATTCTAAACCAAACTGAAAAAGACTTCATTCCTATTCTTTCCTATACTAGAAATTTTTGGCATATTAGAAATGATCACTTCCTCTTTTCCTATGACATATGGATGTGAAAAATTATATTAATAAATGCACAATACTGAATTATATTTGTAGTTGTGAAACAAAACCTATACAAAGTTTTTTTGTAATATCTCATAAATGGCTGACTAAATTTAGTACTACACTTTAGATTTTGTCATATATTTATGAGATTATTTTGTCTTTTTCCCTTCTCAGTGGCTTCTGTTCATTTTTTTTTTTTTTAGGATTTTGCCATTGATATTTGAATTAAGTTTTTTCCCTTATATTTTAATGCTCTTAAAGAGTTAACAAAGAAAATTAATTTTTCTTTAAAATATGAAATTATTTTTCTTTAAATTTTCTGAGTAGGTAAGTGCTTGTCTTCAGTATCTCTTTGAAAAAGTTATTTCTTTACTAGTTAATAATTGTATTTGTTATAAATGGGAAAGATTCATTACACCAAGATTTTCCAATGTTTTTATGTCTAAGATGACACCTCCTTTCTTCTTCCTAATTTTTGTCTCATTATTTCCCTGATTAGAATGGAGGTTTATTTTATTCTTTTTGCTCTATTTATTATTTACTTTTTTCTGCCTCTAAAATTTATCTGTTCTACTCGTTTTTGTTAACTAAATTTTGATTCCTGCTTTCATCTATGATTATTTCTTCTCCTTTATTTTTGTTTCTGGCTAGCCTTGTCTTATTTTGCACTTAGCTTCTCAATAGTTTAATTCACTTATTTCTTTTATTATTTAAAAATAATGAAAGTACGTTTTGTGAATTTTCCTGACTACAGTTCTGACTATGTACAGTAAGTTTAAATGTGTAATGTTATTTAGGTATTTTGTAATTATGCTCTAATCTCCTATTTGACACAGAGATATTTGGAAGAATTTTGTTTTTGTTTCATCATTACCAAAGAGTGTGGGGAAAATTTTAAGTTATTGTTGTTCCACTATAAACTGTATTCCTTTTTGATTAAAGAATGTGGTTTGTATAGATCAGCTTTTTAAAAAAATTCTTTGTGAATATTTGTGATCTAATATACATAAAATTTTTACCATTTCACACATAAATGAAATGTCATCTATTTCAGTTATTGAGTTTCTATGTGCATTTTTAAATCACTGGTTTGCATTATCAGATACTCTTCTGCCTTGTTTATTTCCTACCTTAACCTCAAGAGCAGGGAAAAAAAGCTTCGTTTCTCGCTATGGATCCATTTCAGATGACATTTGGCACATAATTGAATCTGGACAAACTTTTCCTATGGGATCTCCCTACCAACAATAGAAAAACTGTTATCAATGAGGTATTTTTTTCTTTGAAAATTTACTTCGTATATACAATAATTCCAACTTTTGAGGAAAAAGAGTAGCTCTTTTATGTTTTAATCTTATACTTCTGATTTTCCTGAGTTACACTTCCTTGGGTTTCTTTGATAGAAAATCATTGGCAATTATTCCTAATCTTTGCTTTTAATGTAATAAAATTATATTCTTCATGAAGTGCAAATATCTATGCTTACTCAAAGTAATTCACGTTTTAGTTTGTCTACTTTTTTCTGTAATATTTACCCCTGACTCTACCATACGTGTTTTCCTTCCCCTCTCATCTCTCTAATGTGAGGACATACCCATAATTGTGGGACGCCTCTAGTGTATTTCTGAGTCCATGTCAAGGGGAATCATTACCTCACACTTTCCTTGCGTGTGTGACGCAGACATTAGCAAAGGTTTCCTTGCTCCTGTATCTGCCACAGCCTGGCCACTTAGTCCTAAATCATTCTTGTTTGGTAAACATTGTTAGCTACATTTTATTTTATTTTTTGGAATTGACTTTTATTTACAGTGTATTTATAATTTAGACTTGCTTTCATATGACAGTATTTCTATGCTTAGTACTGGTCCTTTCATAGCATACCTTCCTTGTTCATCTGGTTTTTTTTTTTTTTTTTTTTTTTTTTTTTACTATTATACTCATTTCATAGTAGCCTGGAAAACTTTTTTTTTAATTTAATTTTTTTGCATGAAGAGAACCTAATGCATTCACTGTCTGAGGCTTTACATCAGAGTATACTGTCTTATTGACTTCAAATGTGAATGACAAATTGTCCAGACCTGGCAGTCTCGGGTCTTCATTTCCCCCATACTGGTCCTCTGTAGATTCACACTAGTAACATCTGCTCCTAATTTTTTATCCCCTTCTTGCTAACTTGTTTATTTGTTTTCTTTGTTTTATTTTCTCCTGTCTTTCAGGACCCTTTAAATTGAAATTCCAAACTTCTCGAGAAATTGTTTTTATTCTAATCTGACTAATACATATCAAGCCTATTTGCTCTAAGCATTTACGTACATCTTAATTATTACTTTCCTACTTGTTACAGTGTCTTCCTCCAGCACACTCGGTTTGCTTTATGTTGGAGTGCTACTCTCTGCCCCCTAAATCTATTACCTCCTTTCCCAGCATTTTTATCCCATTTTGGTTTTCCTTAACTCTGGCAGAGTGCCTCAGATTTGTCCTAGTCCTCCTTTGATGATAAGCTGCAGCAGTTAAGTGATCTGCTGATTTTAATGTATTTTCGATTTTGAGGTTTTACACTCAGCTTTACATTTTTTTCTTTGTTCAACTTCTCTACATCCTAGCTTCTTGATC